AGGGGAAGACCAATTGCCATCTTTTACGTTTGCAAAGTAATGGTATTTAAAAGCAAAACTTAGACCACCCATACAACCAGAGCTTCACAGAATTCTTGTTAACACCAAAAAAGTAGTGAGACCACAAACTCAGAATGAAGACCCTTTTTTGCAAAAAAAGGTCGTTGCCATCCCATCAGTGACCATGTATGGTTATTACTTTTCCCATTTTACAGCTTGCTGGATGAAAGCTTTATCATGGACTAGCATTTGGAGACCATTGCTTTAGGATATTTGTTGTTTGGGTTTCAGAAGCTGCTTCTTAGATGGAGTTATTTTGGGCTTTTGGAATTAAAATCCTGAGTTCAAAACTTGCTCGCACCGTTCAACTAGCTGAATGGGCTTAAGTGAATCACTTAGCTCCTCCTCAGAGCCTTCTTTGGTTCCTTTTGAACTGGGGGGTGATAACGTCTGCCTCACAAACCTTTTTGCCTTTTTGAGAAGCAAACAAAATAATGTATCTTTAAGGATTTGTTATTTTTATCTGCAAAATCGGAGTAAATAGAGTTGTGATAGTATACAATAAAAAAGTATTCAGCAATCTTTTTTTTTTTAACTCCTTTCCACATCAGTCAATTGGCTTCCATATCAGTTACCAAAAATTGTTGTTTTTCTCAATTCTGTTTCATCTCTACTGCTACTTAGTTCAGTTCTGAATCATTTGTTTAGACACCATGGAAGAAAGACCTGGCGATCTGCCCCAGTAAAGATTACATCCTAGAAAACCTTATGAGGCAGTTCTACTCTGTCACATGGGGTCGCTGTGATTAAAAATTGACTTAACGGCACCTAACGACAATTGCTAAATCTAATTGGCCTTCCTGATTTCCAGCCTTCCCTACCCTTTTATTCCTTCCTTATAGATTCCTCATCCAGTTACTTAAAACTCCCCTTATCCTTAGAGTGAGCAAGGCCTTTCTAACTATGACAGAAAACCCAGAAGCCATAAAAGAAGACTGACCACGTGTCGAAAACCACTGTAAGCAAAGTCAAAAGACACATGATAAACTGGGAAAATTTTGCAGCTCCCATTGTAAGCAAAGGATTAATTTTTCTGTGATATAAAGAATGTGTACAAATTAATAAGACCAAACACCCCAAAAGAAACATAGTCTATGAATAAGTAACAGAAAAGAAAATAGAAATAGCCCTGAAAGATATTCATGTGAAATGCAAATTAAAAATTTGGCGAAGATCCTAAACCTTGACAACTCTGTATGGGTGAGGGAAGAAACAGGCACTCCCATGTCATTAATGCTGACGAGAGTGTAAATTGTAAATTGGTATAATCCCAGTGAAGGGCTAATTGGCAATACCAAAATTATAAATGTACAAACCATTTGATTCAGTAATTCTCCTTTTATATATGCCTATACACATGCAGATTAAAATATGTCTAAGGTTATGGATGATAATATTGTTAATTGAAAACTGCCTAAATGTCCCATCAAAAAAAAAAAAAAAACAGTTGCCATTAAGTCGATTCTGAGTCATAGCAACCCAGTATGTGTCAGAGTACAACTATGTTCCTTAGGGTTTTCAGTGGCTAATATTTCAGAAGTAGATCACCAGGCTTTTAGTCCGAGGCACCTCTTCGCAGCCAACTGCATTAACCATTTTTACCACCCCGGACTCCTCTTATCAGTGCAAAACCAAACCTGTTGCCATGAGGTTGATTCCGACTCATGGCTACCCCATGTGTTACAGAGTAGAACTGCTCCATAGGGTTTTCTTGCCTGTAATCCTTATGGAAGCAGTTTCCTAGGGCTTTCTTTGGGGTAGCAGCCAATCACAAACCACATGCACCACCCATGCTTGACTTGATGGCAAAGGGATTTTTGGATCTTTACAGAATCAGATTGCCAAGCCTTTCTTCCACTGCACCACTGGGTGGGTTCAAATTAGCAACCTTTAGGTTAGCAGTTGATTGCAAACCACTTGCGCCACCCGGAGACCTTCCCCATCAGTACGGTGGTGGGTAAATTAATAAATTAATGGCACATCCATCCAGTAATACCATACATCCATAAAAAGGCAGGAGAGGCAATTTCTTTAAGTCCTGACATGAAAGATCTCTAAGATACATTGAGAAAAGAAAGGTACAGCACATTGTTCGTGGTGTTCTACCATTTGTGAAAAAAGGAAAGTACAAAACAATATATGTACACATTTTTTTTGTGTATATAAGTAGCTGGAAAAGTACATAAGAAACTAATAGGGAAAGGGAAACTCTACATGTATTTCATAATTTTAAAATTTGAATCAAGTAAATATATTACCTACTTAAAAAAAAATAACAAGGAAAAATGTAAAGTAAAACTTCCTTAATGGTTGCTCATTGCTTACGGGACAATATTGCCCTCCCTTGTTCTGCTTCTTTTTACCTCTCCATGCTCCTCCTACAACCTTGCCTCCAAAGTTTACTTCCCTTCTCTGCTTCGCAAAGCACATTTCTAACTGAGTTGTGTGTATTGTCATTCCTGTGCTTTTGAACATGTAGTTTTCTTCCTGGAGTGGCTTTCTTGATTCTCCAATGATCTTTTCATTTTACCTTTAAAGCCCAATCCAAAATTAGCTTTTGTGACTCTATTCTGTGCTTACTTGTTATCATGCTTAACTCATTATACTGAAATTGTGTTTTTCTGCTAGGTTATAAGCAAGCTCCTTAAAGGTTCATGTATTAAATAAAATTAACGAGGGTGTTTGCATATGTTTCTGATGGTGATATAACTGTTATAATTTTAAAAACTGAAAAATATGTATATCCTTTGGCCCAACAATTTTTCTTCTTGGGATTTATACTGAAGAAATAAGCAGAGATGCAATGGAAAATGTGTTAGCAAGGGTAGTCATTATGGCCTTATTTATAATAGCGGAAAAATTAGAAATGTCCTAAATGTTTAACAACAGGGGACTACTTAAAGTGTGAATGGACTTACACAGCACTTAAAAATAACGACATAGAATATTTAATATGTTCACAACATACTCTGTGAGGAAGGCAAGTACAGAGCAGTACAGTTGGATCCAATCTTGTGATCCAAATTGGTGTAGAGGAAAAGGACTGGGAGGACATAGTCCAAAATGATAGCAGTGATTATTTTCTGGTAACTATTTTTTGTGTTTTTTGGTTTTACACGTTTTTTATTTTGTAATCAGAAAAATGTTATTTCTAAAGAGCAGAAAAAGAAAAGCTCTCTAGAGAGCGTAAGTCTAAATTCTGTATAATAAAACCCTATTCAAATTTATCCAAATATTTTGATTAATAGATTAAACAATTTTCAGAGAATTCAAAGTATGCACAGCAAAGCTACACAGAAGTTAATTTAGCTTTTGTTTGTTAATTGAGAAGGCGTTAGGATTTATCATGTGTATCAGGATTAAGACTATGATCACTTGTTAACTCTGCTAAACATAGGAAAGAGTCTAGTTACAGAAGGATAATAACTGACATTTGAGTCCTTACTGTAGTACAAAATTTTGGCATGTATTTAAATGTCAAGTTCTCACAACTATGTAAGATAGGACTGTTATTATCCCTATTCTGCAGGTTAAGAAACAAAGGCCCAGACGTGAGGTAACTTGCTCAAGGTCACTCAGGAGTAGCCAGGATGCCTGTTGCTAGAGTGATGGATAAAGAGTTTATTGTAATTGTTGTTGTTGTTCGGTGCCATTGAGTTGGTTCCATCTCATAGCCACCCTGTGTACAACAGAACGCAACGCTGCCCAGTCCTATGCCACCCTCACAGTCGTCATGCTTGAGCCTATTGTTGCAGCTACCGTGTCAGTCCATCTCATTGAGGGTCTTCCTCTTTTTCACTGACCTTCCACTTTACCAAGCATGATGTCCTTCTCCTGGGGCTGGCCCCACCTGATAACATGTCCAAAGTATGTGAGACAAAGTTCATTGTAATTAGGTAGAAGAAGTTCTATGAATAAAGACCAAAGGAATCACATGCGTTTGGCTTCAGCAGTGGCCTGAATAACATATGAGTGTGTGTGTCCGTGAGGCCTTGGGCAGGGGTCTTCTGTCAGAGGAATAGAAGTTCCCTTCATTACTGGGAGCTGAGTGAGGTCTGGAAAGTTGGTTATTTCTCTGGGCTAACTTTAACATTGATTCTTAAGGTCTTGTAGATGATGTTCTCCACACTCTAAGGAAGAAGTCAAGCAAGGATTGAGGTTGGCCTGGAGAGGAGTCTTTTCTTGAATGACGACAATGAGAGAAAATTGGGCCCACAATGCTCTGAGACAAGAAGGTCTTGTGAAAGGAAAGGATGATGTCTGGAAATGGGGAACCAGCCTCCAAGGCAGCAGCTCCTCTGTTTGGGAGACCTCCCACCTGCACTTTAGACAGTTACGTTACAGTGAGACATCTGGGCCCCAGGAGGCCCTGAGCCGACTCCGGGAGCTGTGTCGCCGGTGGCTGAGGCCAGAAGCACGCACCAAGGCCCAGATCCTGGAGCTGCTGGTGCTGGAGCAATTCCTGAGCATCCTGCCCGGGGAGCTCCGGACCTGGGTGCAGCTGCATCGCCCCGGGAGTGGGGAGGAGGCTGTGGCCCTGGTAGAGGAGCTGCAGAGAGACCTCGATGGACCAGCACTAAAAGTGAGAAAGTGGGAGGGGGGAAGATCTGGGATAGAGGGAAGGAGAAAAATGAGGCAGGGCAGGCTGGTCTGGAGGGTGATCCTGTGATTTTTATTAACAGTACCACACTGGCAACCGTAATGCTAATTAAAGTAGGTTCGTGAGCCATTCCAACCATAGAATGTCTTTGCAGAGAAATGGATTTATGATTGGAGTCTTTGGGCCCAACTCAGAATCAGCAGAAAGACATTGACTCCGCTTTGTCTGTCCCTCCACTCTGGGTGATGCTTGCTCATGCTGACTTTGGTTCAAGAACCTGAAGAAGATGATGTTTGTAGGTGTTCTGTAAATAGAAGCCTATGTATTTTTTGTGTAAGTCCATTTAAAATGATGATGTAAGCACTGGCATAGCAAGAATGAAGCTTTCCAGGTCTGGTAAGGCCTCCCCTTGTGGCTGTGTGCCCTTGGGAGCCAAGTGACTGGGTCGAAATATTTACATCTGATAAAATTTTATATCCTTGACCATTAAATTGGAATCTTAATATAGCCAGTAGTGTTTGTGTGAGATCTCTTTCCATCAGTTTGTAGTCCACTAGAAACACTTCTATATATGAAGTGTTCGATATATCATGTCTGACCTATAGCTTAAACTTGGGAGTGGTAACAAGAATGGGCTTATTTGTTTTAATCATAATAAAGAATTTTAAAGCTATCTGTTTTATTAAAAATCACTAATCTATCACTCTCATTTGAGAGATAGGAAAACTGAGGCAGAAAAAGGTTAAATGAATTATCTCACGTTAGTCAGACATGTAACCAGCAGCAAAGCCAAGTGTCTAGGTTCCCACTCTAGTTTCCTTCTATTGAGGCAGGAAGGAATCAGTAAAGGTGTTAAATGAGTAGAAGAGTTGTGATTGAACCCAAGTCTGACTAAAATCCATGCTCTTTTTTTTTTTTTTTTTTTTGTTTAAGTGAAAGTTTACATTTCAGGTTAGTCTCTCATACAAAAATTTATACATACTTTGTTATGTAACCCTAATTGCTCTCCCTATACTGTGACAGCAGACTCTTCCTTTCCACCCTGATTTCCCGTGTTCATTCAACCAGCTCCTAACCCTCTCTGCCTTCTCATCTCACCTTCGGACAGAAGCTGCCCATTTAGTCTCATGTATCTACTTGAGCTAAGAAGCACACTCTTCACAAGTACCATTTTATATCCCACAGTCCAATCTTTGAAGAGTTGGCCTCAGGAATTCTCTTAGTTCTGGGTTGACAGAGAGTCTGGGGGCCATGCTTTCTGGGGTTCCTCCAGTCTCAGTCAGACCATCAACTCCAGTCTTTTTACTAGAATTTGAGTTCTGCACGCCACCTTTCTCCTGCTCCATCAGGGACTTTCTGTTGTGTTCCCTGTCAGGGCGGTCATTGGTGGTAGCTGGGCACCATCCAGTTCTTCTGGTCTCAGGCTGATGAAGTCTCTGATTTAGGTGGCTCTTTCTGTCTCTTGGGCTAATACTTCCCTTATGTCTTTCGTGTTCTTTCATACTCCTTTACTCCAGGTGGTTGGGACCAATTGATGCATCTTAGATGGCCACTTGCTAGCTTTTAAGACCCCAAAAGCCACTCACCCAAGTAGGACGCAGAACATTTTCTTAATGAACTTTGTTATGACAGTTGACCTAGATGTCCATGGAAAGCATGGTCCCCAGACCCCTGCCCCTTCTCTGTCCCTTGAAGTGTTTGGCTGTATTCAGGAAACTTCTTAGCTTTGGTTTAGTCCAGTTGTGCTGACTTCCCCTGTAGTGTGTGCTGTCCTACGTAAGATAATTCCTGTCTACTATCTAGTTAGTGAATAACCCTCCCCCTCCATCCCCATCCTCGTAACCATCAAAGAATTTTCTTCTGTGTTTAAACCTTTTCTTGAGTTCTTATCATAGTGGTGTTATACAATATTTGTCCTTCAGTGACTGACTAAATTCACTCAGCATGATGATCTCCAGCTTCCTCCATGTTATAAAATGTTTCACAGATTCATCATTGTTCTTTATCATTGTGTAATATTCCATTGTGTGAATATACCATAATTTGTTTATCCATTCGTCTGTTGATGGGCACCTAGGTTGTTTCCATCTTTTTGCTATTGTGAACAGTACTGCAGTGAACATGGATGTGCATATATCTATTCGTGTAATGGCTCTTATTTCTCTAGGATATATTCCAAGGAGCGGAATTGCTGGATCGTGTGGTACTTCTATTTCTAGCTTTTTAAGGAAGTGCCCAATTGATTTCCAAAGTGCTTGTACCATTTTACATTCCCACCAACAGTGTATAAGTGTCCCAGTCTCCACAACCTCTCCAGCATTTATTATTTTGTGTTTTTTGGATTAATGCTAGCCTCGTTGGGGTGAGATGGTATCTTGTTTGTAGTTTCGATTTGCATTTCTCCAATGGCTAATGATCGTGAGCATTTCTTCATGTGTCTGTTAGCCGCCTGAATGTCTTCTTTGGTAAAGTGCCTGTTCATATCCTTTGCCCATTTTCTAATTGGGTTATTTATCTTTTTGTTGTTGAGGTTTTGCGGTATCTTGTAGATTTTAGAGATTAGACACTGATCGGATTTGTCATAGCCAAAATTTTTTTCTCAGTCTGTAGGTTGTCTTTTGACTCTTTTTTTAATTTTTTTTTTATTTTTATTTTATTGTATTTCAGGTGAAGGCTTACAGAACAAATAGTTTTTCATGAAACAGTAGTACACATGTTGTTTTATGACATTGGTTAACAACCCCACAACATATTAAC